CAGCTGCTTCTGACGCTTTTCAATACTGAGGAGAGGAGATGCATTCTCACTGAAGCACGAAAATGGCTGCAGGGCCGAGCCCCTGGGGACGCAATGGATGCTGAGGGGTGGGCCATGACACGTGCCCCTGACACCAGACCAGATTGGGACTTTAACACCCAAGAAAGAAGAGAAGCACTGCGTGAGCACAGGGAGGCCATTCCTACAAGGGCTGAGAGCGGAGCCAAGAAGCCAACGAACATGTGTAGAACGACCACGGTGACCCAGAGGCCAGACGGAACCCCCACTGACTTCTATGAGAGACTGTGTGAAGCGTTCCGAGTCTATACTCTGTTTGACCCTGAGGCCCAAGAGAACCAGCAGATGGTCAGCGCTGCCTTCGGAGCCCAATCATACCCAGATATACGCCGGAAACTCCAAAACCTGGATGGGTTCGCAGGGATGAACGCTACACAGCGGCTGGAAGTAGCAAACAAGGTTTTCGTAAATCGAGAGCGGGAAGCCCAACGAGATGCAGACCGGCGAATGAAGCAGAAAGCTGCGCTCCTTGCAGCAGCCCTGGGGAAAACGGCTTCAGCCAGAATCCCGCACCCCCCGGAAGAGGGGGCCCCAACCGTGGGTGCCCCTGGGCCGAGACCAGTGCACGTACTGCTGGAGACAGGACGCTGGAAGGATGAGTGCCCAGAGAGGATGGGGAGAGAACGCCCCTCAGGAAGCTGCCTGCCACCTGGAGCCGCCACTGAAAACCTCGTCGGACTGGCTGGAATCGACTCGGAACAGGAAGGACCGGGCTTCCGGCCCCCGGGCCCCCTGGAGCCCAAGGTCGAGATGTTGATGGAGGCCAGCCAGTGACTATTATGGTGGACATGGGAGCAGAATATTCTGTGGTGACCCAGCCTGTAGCCCCCCCGTCCAAGAAAAGGCAACCATTATAGGGGCTACTGGAGACTCGACTGCCCGCCATTTCTGCCAGCCATGACCCTGCCAAGTAGGGGGCCATCTCGTGACACGTGAACTTTTAGGCTTGCCTGGATGCCCGATACCATTGCTCGGAAGAGACCTTCTGTCTAAACTGGGGGCTCATGTCACCTCCGTCCCCGGGAAACAAGCCCACCTGACCGTCCGGGGAGGCCCAGGACCCTGGCTGTCTCCGTTCCCCGAGAGGAGGAGTGGCGTTTGTATGAAAACAGTGAATCCCAGAAAAGCCCTGCCGGGCTCCTGGAAGAGTCCCCATTGGCCCGGGCTGGCAGTGGGCCGCCAGGCCTAGCACGCAATCAGGCACCACTAGCAGCTGACCTCGAGCCTGGACCTAGCCCAGTCAGGCAGAGGCAGCGCCCTGGGCCTCGCGAGGCCCACCTGGGAGTCCAGAAGCACACGCAGCGGCTACCCTAACTGAACGCAGATCCCCCTGGAACACACCGTTGCTCCCGGTGGAGAAAGCGGAGGGAACAGACTCTAGACCAGTCCAGGACCCATGGAAGGTCAACGAAGTAACCGTCACCGTACACCCAGTGGTGCCAAACCCGTATCCTCTCCTAGGCCTCGTTCCCACAGGTGCCAGATGGCTCACACGTCTGGACCTTAAAGACGCTCTCTCCTGCCTTCAGCTCTCGCTGGCGGGCCACCCCATACTCGCGCTTGAATGGGAGGGTCCTCATGCAGGGAGGAAAACCCAGCTGACCAGGACGCGCCTTCCCCACGGGTTTACAAACTCACCCACCCCGTTCGGAGAGGCGCCAGCTGCAGCCCTTGTTAAGTTCCCCGGGGAAGCGCCGAGCTGCCCCCTGCCCCAGTATGTGGGCGGTTTGTTACTGGCCAGTCCAGATGGAGAAGGTCGTTGGAGAGGGACTCGAGCCCTCCTGGAGTTACTCCGGACGACAGTCTAATATCATTATCTCAGAAGGACACCGAGCCTTGGGGCCAGAACGGAAACGAGTGATCGGCGCTGTTCCAAAACCGCAAACGGAAAGGAAACTACGGGAGCTCCTAGGCGCGGCCGGTTTCTGCCAGATCTGGATCCCCGGGTTTTCAAGGACAGCCAGGCCCCTCTACGAGGCAGCTGCCGGGTCAGGAAAGGAAAGCCTCAGGTGGGACGCTGAACAAGAGATATCTTCAGGCCACTAAAAGAACTATTAGCCCAGGCCCCGGCCTTGGGCCTGCCAGATATGACACGGGAATTCCACCTGTTCGTACTCGAGAGAGACCGAGTCGCTCTTGGAGCCCTGGCTCAGAACGTGGGGCCATGGCAGCGCCCCGTGGCCCATTTGTGCATGAGACTGGACTCAGTGGCATCAGGATGGCCACCCTGTCTGCGGGCCCTCGCTGCCACAGCCCTCCTGGTCAGTGAGGCAGACCTTAAACGTAAAAGTGCCCCACTCCGTGGTGACCCTGACGAGTGGCCCAGGCTACTAGTGGATAACGACTGCAAGGATGACCCACTACCGGGGGCTATTATGCGAGAATCCCAGGGCGTGCCAGGAGACTGTGCGAACCCTGAAGCCAGCCACTTACCTACCCGAAGGGGAAGGGCAGCCTGACCACGACTGTGAGGAGGTCACTGCAGGAGCATATGCAAGCAGGCCTGATCTGACTGACACTCCCTCCAGAACCCAGGCCTGGAGCTCTGTACGGACGGCAGCAGTTACGTGCAAGATGGGCGGTGGCGGGCAGGGTACGCCGGCACAACAACCTGTGATGTGATCAAGGCAGGACCCCTTCCCTCGGGCTGGTCTGAGCAGAGCAGAGATCTGGGCTCTGGTCCAGACACTCAGAGAAGGGAGAGGAAAGCGAGTCAGTATATGTACAGACTCCAGATACACTTTTGCAACCCTACATGTACATGGAGCCCTCTGTAAGGAGAGAGGACTCTTGACTGCTGGGCAAAGGGAATGAAGAACAAAGAAGGAGTTCTACAGTTACTGGAGGCAGTATGGGATCCGAAGGAAGTGGCCGTTATCCACTGTAAGGGACACCGAAAAGGAAATGACCCTGTGAGCCAGGGGAACAGGCTGGCTGATCAAAAGGCAAAAGAGGCAGCCGCCCGGGAACATCTGGTGAACAAAGTTATGGCAGCGCCAGAGCTCCCCACTGCCCCAGGGCATAGCCACGGCGGGGACAAGCGGGCACAGGCCGAACAAGGGGGAAACGGGAAGGACGACGGTGGGCCATGGCAGGTGGGAGGAGATTCGTCCCAGCGCGCCTGGCCTACCGCAGAGTCAGACAACAACACGAAGCCATGCACGTGGGAGACACGGCTCTGGACGCCCTCCGAAAGCCGTACTTCCTGATTCCTCGCCTCCCCACTCTGTGCGCATCAGTCTCTCAACGCTGCCTGCTCTGCACCCGAAACAACCCAAAGCAAGGGCCCACCGGGCCAGCGGGAGCACAGCGATGCGGACGGCTCCCTTCGAAGGCTTACAAGTAGGCTTTACAGAGCGTGGGCCCGGCAGGGGCTATAGGCACCTGCTGCTTCCATCTGTGTCGCACAGGGTGGGTTGGTGGAGGCCTACCCACCCCCTCACCAGGACTGAAGAAGCAAGAGGTCACAAAGGCTGTCCTCAGAGAGGTCGCTCCTCGGTTTGGAGTGCCTGCCTCCATCGGGTCCAGCAACGGACCCGCCTTCGTGGTGGAGGTTGTGCAACAAGTGGCAAAAGCACTGAACATCCGTTGGTACTTACAGCATAGCGACCCCAAAGTGGGACGAATGAACGGGACCCTGAAACAGATTATAACCAAAATCAGCCAAGAAACTCAGCTCCCTTGGGTGGACATTTTGCCCTTGGCTCTGTTGCAAATTCAGTGCACCCCAAGACTTAACACGGGATACTCCCCATTTGAGATTCTCCTGCCCCCACCCATAGTCAAAGTAGGAAGCTGAACCCCAGAGATAGGACACTTAGAGCCCCACCGCCAGTTACAAGGGTTAGGACAGGTCTTACGGGAGAACTGGGGTTGGGTGATAGAACTCCCGTCTCACTAGGAGTCCAGGTGCATCCCCATAAGCCGGGAGGCCGAGTGTGGGTAAGGGGCTGGGAGAAGGAGCCCCTGAGGCCAACGTGGAGGGGACACTGGGAGGTTGTGTTAACTACCCCTACGGCTGTTACAGTTGCAGGAATCGTCCCATGGATTCATCACCCCAGGATTAAGCCGGTGGCCCCACCCCAGGCAGAAGGCCCCTGGAGAGCTGAGAGCGTCCCGGGAGACCCAGTCAGGCTGACGATCTGGAGAGCCCAGGAGAGAGACTGCAGGCCCTGCTCTAGCCGCAGCCGGAGGCTGGCTGGTCAGCGCACGGCCGAAGCTTGAGGAGAGGCTGCCGGACGTACCCCCCCCGTGCCCCCTTGCCCCTCTCCTCACTTGCCGTATTGGCCCGCCTGCTAGCGGTGGGCTGGCCAGCGCTGCTCCCCCTGACTGGCGCATAGGCCGGAAGGTCCGGACAGCCCTCTGTACCTTGTCACAACTAGCTCTCTCTCCACGGCAGCATGGCTGAGACAGTCACCAGGCTGATGGTACTGGTGCTAATGCCTTCCCTTCCCTGGGCTTCGCGATGCACCTGCGTTGAACCGGGTGACAGGTGGACCAAGTACCAACCTGTATTCACAGCTTACACCTATCAGCCGAGTCGATGCTATGACTCTGCCTCAGAGTGCACGTATCAGGGCAGATCCTACTGGACTGGCACGGTCAAGGCTTCCTCCGTCTCCGGCATCAAGTGCTACGGCACACCCGGCAAGCCGGTGTGCTGGACCAAGCACACACACTACGGGATGAGTGATGGAGGAGGGGCACAGGACCAGGCACGCCGGCAGGCCGTCCAGCAAGCAGTCCGGAGGCTGCTCCAGAAGCGGTTGCCTGCCCGGGAGCCCGCAGGACTCCCGCCTTTAGCCGAGCCTCGGAATCTAGCTCCGCGAGTAGCCGGGCTGTTGGCCGCGGTCCACGGAATCCTTAATCGTTCCAATCCAAACCTGGCTAGGGACTGCTGGCTGTGCTTGCGTCCCGGCCCCGTCCAGCACCTGGCCCTGCCCGTGGCAAACCTCACGAAGGCCTTCACCACGACCGCCGGCGCCGCCGCCTCCGCCGCTGGGAGTCCCAGGCTGAACTGGGTGCGGCTCGCCTACAAGGCACCAGAGTGTTACTTCAACAACGGAACCAATCCGTTAGGGGGCAGTCTGAGCACAAGGCAGTGTCACAGCACCTCTCCCTGTGCGGGCTGGGGCTGCCAGCCCACCCGGGGGTGGTGCGCTAATAATGGGGCTTACTTCGTGTGCGGCGAGTCTGCCTACCGCTGCCTTCCCGCGAACTGGACAGGGCTGTGTGCTCTCGCCTTCCTCTCCCCCCGGGTGGGCATTCTGCCCAACAGCCAGAGCCTCCCTGTTCCGGCTGCAGCTCGCCAGCAGCCTCGGAGAGCGAAGCGGGCCGCGCAGCGAATCCCGTTGCTCGTGGGGCTGGGAGTGGCGACGGGGGCGGGCACGGGGATCGGGGGCATAACCCCACCCTCTCATCACTATTATCAGCTCTCAGGGGAGTTCAGTCAGGACTTCCGGCGAGTCGCAGAAACCCTGGGGGCTCTGCAGAGTCAGACTGACTCCCTGGCCGAGGTGGTCTTACAGAACAGGAGGGGTCCCGGCCTGCTCTCGGCCAGAGAGGGGGGACTGTGCCTCTTCCTAAACGGAGAATGCTGTTTCTATGCCAACCAGTCAGGGGTCGTCAGAAAGGTGGTCCAAGAGTTACGGGACTGAGCGGAACGGAGGAAATATATTTCGGGCACGGGCCTGTGGACAGGCCCCTGGGGCTGGGCCTCCTGGCCGGCATCGCTCATGAGCCCCCTGCTCCTGGTCGGTGCAGCTCTGCTGTTTGGGCCCTGAATCTTAAACTTCCTGACCCGTTCCGTCAGCGAACGGATGGAGGCGATAAAGCTCCAGATGTTAGCTTCCCATTATGAGCCTCTGCACCAGATGGAGGATGGTGCCTGCTCCACCCTGGGCTGTGAGAGCATCAAGAAGGGGGATTGAGAAGGAAAAGGTGGGCCTGGCCAGGCTGGGGCCGGGCCAGCTCATGGACATTGAGTCTCGCCTTGCTGGACCGGTTTTGGGTTACTGGGGATGACTTTGCTTCCCCTGTTATGACACTGCCTGGCTGTACCCGCCCTGTTGGCTGATGGGCCCCAAGCTTGTAAGCGACCCTGCGACCCCTCCCTCACACTTCCCGGAGGTGCTCAGAGCCCGAGCTCGCCGGCCCCCCGAGTGGAGCTTGTGTCTTGGCTGGCCTGCCGTTCCTGTAACATTTCGGCTTGTTCTTTATGGCTGTGATGCTTTTACTGGAATAAAAAAGAATGAGAATTCTGTCTTCTGCCTTAGCCCACACTGTCGGAGAAGGACTCATTGTCTGTTTTTCTCTTTCTGGATGCGGCTACATTATCAATTTTTTTTTAATGTGTGAAGTATGAATTCTTGCTTGAGAGTGACTGTGGCAGGTTTAACAATTTCACACCATGGGTTCGCCTCTCACCACCATCCCGGGGGGTGATTACACCATCCCTACTTTGCAGATGGAAAAGCGTAAGCACCGCAGGTCTGCTCTTTGCTCTCAGATCAGGAGCGACCCGCAGCACGTCCCCTGTTGAGGCTTCTTGTTTAAAGCGAATAAATGCCAAAGCCGGAAGGTGAAAAATGTAGTTTCCCTCAAAGGCTCACACTTAAAAAATGGTGTTTTCCCTGTAAAACACGTTGTGATGTTACTTTACTAGTAACAAAGTAAAACCAAGTGTTGTGTGTTTGTAGATGTCACCTCGCAGCTGTGCCCTGGAGGCGCTTCATGAATGTGAGGGCAGCTGCCCCATCGTAGAGGGGTAAGCCTGTAGGGGTCCCCTGGAGCCCTGCAGCCTTCTGTTATGGGAGAGTCCTGGATTGAGGACGTGGGATTATGTGTAAACTCATTTTTCGTTCATGATGACCTTGGGTAAGTCTTTTCCTCTCTCTGGACTTCAGGTCCAAATCGAATGGCGAGAGGGCTGGATAGATGATTACTTGTCTGTGACTTGAAGAAAGAGTTACACCTCTTCTTTGTAACCAGGTTTGGCCCACAGACACGTGGCGTGCTGTGTTTGGGTCCCAAAGTGTTTCAGACATTTTCAAGTTGATATTTGAATATCTGACGATCGCACATAAACTTCCAGACTTCTTTTGTCTCGTGGAGCATCTGGAGCTCCGGCTCCGGCAGCCTGTATATCCTCACGGGCTGCTGGGTCGCTTCAGCAGGCTGTGCCCTGAGCGACTCCGGCTTGCCGGTCTCCCCACCTCCCCCCACCGCGTACCCCGCTTCTCCCGTGATGAGACAGTATCATTGGAGAGGAAAGAGGATTCAAGTGCCAGTGATCAACTCCAGAAGATGCGGATTTCGGAAGAGCACCCTGTAGGCAGTTGGATTTGCTGTCCTCTCCCCAAGAATATGAAAACATTCTTTCCTACAGACCAGAAATCCCACAGGGTTTTCTTTTTCTTCCTTAGCTTTTGTATTTCTCACCTACATTTGTTGCTTGGATCCAGCTACAATGAAACGTTCCTTTGTAGGGGATGGGGAAAGTCAGAAAGCAGGTTAAACAGCCCTAATGTTTAAACTATGTTTAACCTCTGTTCTGGAAAACCCCAGACCTGTTACAAACACAGCTCTCGTCCAGCACCAGGAGTAACAGCACCGTCGGGCACACAGCCCTCACTGCATCCGGGCAGCTGGGCTCTGCACTGTCTCTCTGTTATTTGTTTATTTTGGTTTTTAATTGTGATTTAAAAAAAAATAAGACTTACCATCTTTTTAATTTTATTTTTTGCTGAAGTGTAGTTGGTTTGCGATGTTAGTTTCAGAAGACGTACCGTCTTAACCATCTCTGAGTCG